CATCAGGTTCAGGGCAGGATTAGCTCAGGATCTTATCCTGTTCACACATAGGAGGTTTAGAAACGGTTCCCATAGAAGTCAATAGCCTGTAGTCTGCACCTGAACCGGACCGCACTGCTCAGAAATCAGACATGACTCTTTTTAAAAAAACATTGATTCCGCACTGCCAGTGCACCAGACATATGTGAACAGGTGAACAGGTCATGCGGATTGGATGCTGTTCAAACCCCATCCAATCCACATATATGTGAACCCTTACATATACTGTACCTAGTGAAGTGACTTCCTCACAGAGTTGATACACAGAGATGAAACAAATCCTTCTACATAAGTTCTACCATCTTCCCTTCTCTGCATCTTTTTAAAGTCTAAAATGTATAAAAGGAGATCTTTGAGAGATGATTGGAGGGAGTGGGCACCCCCCACCTTCACACCGCTGTCAGCTGAAGCTCCCTCCCGTAACCATTTTTTTCTCTTGGTGTCCGGAAAACTTGTCAGAAGTGATTCATGCTGCTAGCAGAGAAATGGGCAGCAGGCAGATATGACACTTAGTGCTCCTAATTGAGACAAGCAAACGCTATAGAAATATATGCTTTGTTCATATTTCATGTCTGAGGTTTACAACCACTTTAAAGTTGAACTTTACTCCTTTTTTCAGCCTTCTTTTATATGTACCTACATATACAGTATGTGCAGGACAACACTGGATACGCTGGCCAGTTGAGTATGCTCATCCAGCTCAACCTGTCATACCAGGTAAAAAGGGATTAAAGGATAGGTTCCCCTATCCCTTACATGTTGCATGTTAAACCCATATTCAGGGTGTAACATGTTACTGTTGCAGCAGCCCCGCACAATCCACCTGATTGTCCATTGTGCCAGCGGGCCGGGGATCATCTCCCCGCACCTGCTGTCACAATTTTTAAAAAAACATGTCAGTGCATGGCTCCGCCCACCTGGCAGCGTCACTTATTCACAGAGTTCTGTAAATGGGAGAACTACAGCTACCATTAGCCATAGTAGCAGATGAACCCTCTAGGTATTTCATTGATGCTTCCTGTCATTCAGTAACTGTCTTTTCGTGCAGATAGCTATGCTGACAGTCTGCAGGAGCATGAGATTGCATCTATGATCTGCTGATGCTTTACAGGTTCTTAATTTAAAAAAATGCACATTTTATTACCTACAAAAAGTGCATTTATTATTTTTTTTCAAAGATTAACTTCTCCTTTAATATTACAAATAACCCCGTTGGGGCTGGGGATGTAGTTCCTCTTTCAGGTTCTTTCTCTGCACCTTTAAGCAAATGTACACTGTACCTGTTTTCAGTGCTACAGTTAATCAATGAATCACAGGCACTTGCTGTATTTTATGATCCTCTCTTTGACATAATTCATTCCTGAATAAGGTATGTGTAACAAAGCGGATATGTATAGCACCGCGCATGTGCTTCTTAAAATAATTACATAGCTAATCTGATTTAGATTCAAATTCTAAAATAAAAAAAAAAAAACATTAAATACATAAAGATTAAACAGCATCCGGAAAAAAATGGAAGTAGTGTGACCCTAGGGTAGGCATTACAAACTGATCATTCTCCCCTTAGAGATCTACAGTGAGGAACAGAAGTATTTGAACACCCTGCGATTTTGCAAGTTCTCCCACTTAGAAATCATGGAGGGGTCTGAAATTCACATTGTAGGTGCATTCCCAGAGAGACAGAATTTATAAAAAATTCAGGAAATCACATTGTATGATTTTAAAGAATTTATTTGTCTTGCACTGCTGAACATAAGTATTTGAACACCTGAGAAAATCAGTGTTAATATTTGGCACAGAAGCCTTTGTTTGCAATTACAGAGGTCAAACGTTTCCTGTAGTTCTTGACCAGGTTTGCACACACTGTAACAGGGATTTTGGCCCACTCCTCCACACAGATCTCCTCTAGATCTGTCAGGTTTCGGGGCTGTCGCTGAGCAACACGGAGTTTCAGCTCCCTCCAAAGATGTTCTATTGGATTTAGGTATGGAGACTGGCTAGGCCACTCCAGAACCTTGATATGCTTCTTACGGAGCCACTCCTTGGTTATCCTGGCTGTGTGCTTCTGGGCATTGTCATGTTGGAAGACCCAGCCACGACCCATCTTCAATGCTCTGACTGGGGGAAGGAGGTTGTTGCTCAAAATCTCACAATAAATGGCCCCATTCATCCTCTCCTTAATACAGTACAGTCGTCCTGTCCCCTTTGCAGAAAAGCACCCCCAAAGCATGATGTTACCACCCCCATACTTCACAGTAGGGATGGTGTTCTTGGGATGCAACTCATCCTTCTTTTTCCTCCAAACACGGCGAGTGAAGTTTAGACCAAAAAGTTCTACTTTGGTCTCATCTGACCACATGACTTTCTCCCATGCCTCCTCTGGATCATCCAGATGGTCATGGGCAAACTTCAGACGGGCCTGGACATGTGATGACTTGAGCAGGGGAACCTTCCGTGCAATGCATGATTTGAAACCATGATGGCGTAGTGTTCTACCGACAGTGACCTTTGAAACTGTGGTCCCAGCTCCTCCCTTGTAGTTCTGGGCTGATTCCTCACCTTTCTTATCATCAGTGATACCCCACGAGGTGAGATCTTGCATGGAGCCCCAGTCCGAAGGAGACTGACAGTCGTCTTTAGCCTCTTCCATTTTCTAACAATTGCTCCAACAGTTGATCTATTTTCACCAAGCTGCTTGGCAATTGCCTCATAGCCCTTTCCAGCCTTGTGGAGGTCCACAATGTTGTCTCTGGTGTCTTTTGACAGCTCTTTGGTCTTGCCCATGGCAGTAGTTGGCGTCTGACTGGCTGTGGGGTGGACAGGTGTCTTTAAAGAGCTCAGACAGGTGCTACTAAGTTAGATTAATGAGTGGAGTAGAGGTGGACTTTTTAAAGGCTCAATAACAGGTCTTTGAGAGCCAGAATTCTTGCTGTTTCTTAGGTGTTCAAAAACTTATGTTCAGCAGTGCAAGACAAATAAATTCTTTCAAAATCATACAATGTGATTTCCTGAATTTTTTTTTAAATTCTGTCTCCCAGAGTGGGAATTCACCTACAATGTGAATTTCAGACCCCTCCATGATTTCTAAGTGGGAGAACTTGCAAAATCGCAGGGTGTTCAAATACTTCTGTTCTTCACTGTATAATTAATAAATGGCATCTGCTAATACCTTTCTGCATTGGCAATGCATTTTCTATTTTAGTGCCTTGAGCTTGCATTACATTGAATGTAAATCTTCCCATCCAATCAAAACACAGTGACTTGAACATAGCCATAACGAATACAATCTTATCCTACACTCACAACTGTAGATTTGTCATAGCAAGACTGTCTAGACATAAAGGAACTGGTTGATAGTTGTTGCAGGCAATCATTTCAGTTAGTGAAATGTTGCCATCATAAAGACAAATATTTCATTGATTACCCAGAGAGCTGTATGCAGAAGAGGGAGGGAAAAGAATACCCCTGACTTCAATGATCTCTAAAACAAAAGCCTCAAAGCTAGAAAAAGATCATGCCCTTATTTCCCTAATGAGTCACCGCTAGATGGTGCTTGTTTTCACAGAGCTCTGTCTCAGATCACATTGAAAGTGCTATTAAAAGATTCTCTCCAACTTGAACTAGAATTGAAGCAACCTAGAATTCGGCAGTATACCAAATGAGGCCCAGATATCAAGCTGAGCAAGACATTTGAGTATAGACAACACTGTTTTGTGTGTTTTTCAGGATGATTACAGGCTTTGCACACCAAATACAGTAGATATACAGTAGTTGTAAATGATATGTAAGCTGTGCATGCATGCTATCCTGGAGTTTATATAGCGCATGCTAAATATTACATTATATATGCTGAAAGCCGAACCCCTGGCAGAGACTGTATTAAAGACACACATTAATTTATTTTATTTATTTATTTCAGGTACTTCTATAGTGCCGTAAATTTATGCAGCGCTTTTTACATATATATTGTACATTCACATCAGTCCCTAACCCTCAAGGAGCGTACAGTCTAAGGTCCCTAACTCACATTCATATACAAGGGCCAATTTAGACAGGATCCAATTAACCTACCAGCATGTCTTTGGAGTGTTGGAGGAAACCAGAGGACCCGGAGGAAACCCACGCAGGCACAGGGAGAACATGCAAACTCCAGGCAGGAGGTGCTGTGGCTGGGATTCAAATTAACGACCCTAGTACTGTCAGTCGGAAGTGCTAACCATTTAGCCACTGTGCTGCCCTCTGTATGCCATAATACACTATTAAGTGTATTTTTAAACAAAAGTTGCGCAAGTACCTGAATGTAACTTGATATCAAATATTTTTGTCCCTGTACAGCAGTTTTGAAATGTGAGAGGAAGAATCGGCACAAGGACCTATCAGTTCTAGGCTGGGAATGGCTGGGAAACTGGCTGCTGAAGTGAGTTGTCCAGCAACACTTACCAGCTTGTCAGCTCAAAAACAAAGCCTTTAGGTTCACATGCACACTAGCATTTTTTTATAAGCTCATTAACCGCTTTGCCGACGCTCTATAGCAGAAATACTTCTACAGTGCGGCAAGGGTGCACACAATTTCCAGGTAGGGGGCGCACGCCCTACCTGCACTGCCATTCGCGGCCTCGGCTGTCAGTCCTTGGGTTTCGGCCAGTGATTACTTGCTGGCACCCGGTGATCGTCAAGTATTACCGACGGGGCAGAGAACTGTATGTAAACAATACAGTTTGCTCCAGCACACTGCTTTGTATGGCTCCATAAGATGCATTTTTTTTCCTATCAAAAAATGGGGGAAAATGTCTGTGCATCTTATAGAGTGGCTGGGTATTCCCCCCATCGCCGCCATGTTAGAATACCGAGCCAACCGCTCGGCTCTTCTGTGAAGCAGAACCTGCTCCTCGGTCCATCGGTGTCATCACTTCATCATCTTTAGTGTGGGCACCCAGCTGTGACAGCTTGCGACTTCACAGCTGGGTGCCCACTGCTCATGCGTGAGAAGTGCTGCTTTGTGAATGGCCCCGTAGACTATGGGAGAGAGGCGATCGCAGCAGAAGGCTCCTCCCGCTCTCCAAAGGTCTGCATACATGTCATCTCCTGTACTGTGTTCGCAGTCTCTGGTCATCCCCTGTACTGTGTCCGCAGTCTCTGGTCATCCCCTGTACTGTGTCCGCAGTCTCTGGTCATCTCCTGTACTGTGTCCGCAGTCTCTGGTCATCTCCTGTACTATGTCCGCAGTCTCTGGTCATAAAGGATTTGAGCAGCAAATTCTGGATTCATTTCTTTGCCTTGTATTTACAGATGAGCTGTGCTAGCACCCTCATTACAAGCTTGCAGCAGGTATCTTGATTTCTCACCTGGAGCAGCTTTACACTTCCACTTTTACTTCACACCTAGTCTCACTTTTGTCATTCACTGCATGTGCTGCTAGTAAAATGGAATGTTACATCACTACTGCTTTCAATGCAAAATGTCGTCACTTACACCTGCAAATCATATAGTATTTCCATTTTTTTTTTTTGTCTAATTCCTGTACATGTCCCAGGATGGCAGTTCTGTTGGACTGAAGTTAAGGACCACACATTGAAGAAGTGCCTTGGCTCAGCAATGTGGATTTACATATACTCACAGATGTATGCAACAAAAACCTCTGATTTTAACAAAAATGGTTGAGTCTGTCAATTAATGATTTTGCACAGACCAGCCCTGATCTGCCTCTTCATGGGTTCCATGGGTGGGCACGCATGTGACACACAGCAGGAGCCATTGGCTCCCACTGCTGTCAATCACAGCCAGTGAGGAGGGAGTGTGTCTCGGCCCACCCCCTCCTCACTGGCTGTGATTGACAGCAGTGGGAGCCAATGGCTCCTGCTGTGTGTCAGCCAATGAGGAGGGAGAGACCTAGGTGAGCCGCTGCTCTCGTGCACATCGCTGGATTGAGATGGGCTCAGGTACATATTACGGGGAGCTGCTGCACACTGAAGGTTTTTTACCTTCATGCATTCTGCATGAAGGTAAAAAACCTTCAGCCTTTACAACCATTTTAAAGTTGACCAATTGTTGTGTCCACCGTTTTATCATACTATGGATCCTGTAGTAAGTGGTTTCCAAAACACATTCACAAAGGCTTTGTTAGTAACGTCACATGTCACATGTTAGACACATGTATGTAGCTTTTCCTATAGTTTAATACCGATTTTTGTGTATTTGTTGGTAGTTTTTTTTAACCTGTGTGTTGGCAGAAAAAGGATGGACTTTAATGCCCACGCACTGCAAATATGCATCACTGGGCAGCTGATGTATCTGTGTTTTAGAATGTGCTCACTGTGCACTCCCAGTACAGAGACCGAGCTAATGATCGGTAGCCTCCCGATCATGTGACCACTGTGACAGTTAATCATGGTGGTTACATGATTGCTGATCCTTACCAGGCATACAGACCCTATTAAAGGGATGCTGGAGCTGGGTGGAAATGGGTTAAAGATGTGTTATATTTTGAAACTAGAATAATAGGTTTGAAACAAAACTCAGAAAATGCATAAGTACATATCTACCAATGTCTGGGCTTTAATTTTTCAGCCCAGCTCTAGACAAAACAGATTTTTCCTTTTTTTTTTTTTTTTTAAATAGAGCGGGGGAAAATTAGAACCTATTCTAAATTCTGTTAATGTTCCTGTTAGGGAGTTTTCAATTGTCAAATTTTACATTCATCCACTGATTTCAGAGGGAAGACCTCTTAAGAGAAGGCTGGCTTCTATTTACTCTAGGATTGGTAAATCCTAGTATGGGTTCTGGAGCCTCGAGGCTTTTGGGTGGGACTCCAACCCTGGGCTCAGGTTTTAGTGATGAGCTTAGGGCTCCAGCCTCCTGAGAAGACTGTCATCCTGCCAGGGAGCAGTAGAAGCACGGACACATGAGGGGTGTGTGTTTGTCTGCACTGACCAGACTGACATCCGGAGAAACAGTTGCTGCAGGGGCAGTGTATGAACACTGTTGTGTTCTGGACTGAGGGATTGCATTCTATTAAGCAGTCCACAGAATCTTGGGATTGGACAAGATTCAAACCATGTATGGGCAAGCTGAATGTACTCAAGTTGATCATTTGATCAACTTGAGTACAACCAGCCTGCTGGATTTTATATGTGATTATTGCTTGTGGCTATTATAGCCATCAGCAGTAGTCACTGTGTTCTCCTAGTGGGTACAGCTCCCCCCTCCCCCTTGCCTGGAGAATACAATGGCTCTGTGGTTGCAAAAAAGAGAAAATCCCTCCATCTATAGCTGGCTTTAGGCTGTGAAAGCCTGTGTAGTCCGAGGTGGGCTGCTTTATAGTTAGGAGGATGTGTTAGTAGTTCAAATGATGCATGATGCTGAGATCCCTATGTGGGAATTGTGCTGTATGGTGCCTTTTCTGTTAGACAAGCTCGGACAGAAAGCAAATAACCAAGTGGACTGTGTTCTTAAAGCTCTACCTTTGACACCTAATCATCACACCTGCTTAAAATGTGTTTTATTGCTGTCTGTTCCCCCCCTTTTGGGGATCCCCCTCATAACCTGTTGTGTAAAAAAAAAAAAAAAAAAAAAAGATGTGAAAGCACATTCCCCGAATGGGAACACAGACTGCAATAAAATATTGTCAGAGATTCTACAAAAATAGTTTTAGCTGGGGTTGGGCTTTAGGCTTTGTTCACACAGGTGATAATGGCCATATATCTTGGCCAGGCCGGCTACTCAACTTTCAGGTACTGCATGCAGGCCACTCATTGAAGTCTATTAGGATGCGACAGCTGCTGGTCCTAATGTGACAGGCCTAGGGGGGAGGCGAGCAGCCGTGAACACCCACTTTTGGCTGCTCTTCATGCACTTCAATTGGCTTACCTGCATACAGCATCTGGAAGTTGAAATGCAGGGAAAAAACGGCCCATTCATTCTTTATGGCCATCACTGTCCATGTGAATGAGACCTATAGTAAACTATATAGCAGAATGCCTAATGTTGAATCCCAGGTTTAGACATGATAAATTGTTTAGTATACTATGTTGACACCCCTTTCCCCTATACACAGTGTGATATGATCTGACAGATGGCCCTCCTACTTTCCCATCTCTTCACTGTAAAGTTTGACATGCAAGGTAAAATCAGATTTTTAGTGCAAGTTGAACTGGAGCTCATATTAAAAAAAATACGAAGCATTTACAGTTATACCCGTTCTTGGTTTACAGGTTAGCTCTACCCCGACTGGTTTATTTTGTACAATTTAAAATTTTATTTCACTCCTAATGTTATGATTTGAAGCTTAGAATTTTTTGTAGACCATAAACATAACTTGTGATCTCTTTGTGGAGAGAATGAAACACCTTGATATCAAGATTTTATTAATTGAGTGCTGTGTTTGTTTCATAATTCAGCTGTGTCCATTATATGAGAAATGTCCAGATGAATTCTGTGTTTAATGTGTTAAAAATCTTATAACATGCCAGTTTGATTTGTATCCCCTCATATCACAGCATGCTAATTAAAATCATATTTCTGCATATTTCATGCCTTTCGTGTACATATGCAAATGGAATCCCATTGCCTTTCAGCAATTAGTAATTAAGTTTATGAAGGACAGCTGTAATACATAATTAACAAAAATGTTTGCGAGTCCTTTTCACACTAGAAGTTGTAACAGAAATGTTTGCTTATCAAGTGAGCAATTTGAATTTTTTTACATTTGCTGATATCTAAATTGTCAGGCTTAGTCATTCTGTAACATTGCATTAAAAAAATATTCTAGGCAACAGACAATAGGTAAAAATGTTCTTTTTCTTTCCTGTGCATCAGATCAGTAAATTTCCACAGGACATTATGATATTTCAATTAAAAGGGCACTTTTGTTGAACCTAAACAATTTGCAATTAGGCTTGGTGAACATAGCCTAAAGCCTAGCACACACATGAAAAACATCAGACGAAAAAAAATGTTTTCGGAGTGATTGTACAATAATCTGATCGTTATTACACGGCTTTTGAGAGCCGATCACAAAAGTTAACGCAAAGTGATCCGAAGGGATAAGCATGAAAATCTTTCTTGTAAGATAACAGAACAAAGAATTTTCATTTATTCATCTGTACAAAATAGAGTAACCAAGACCGGAAATGAAAGAATGCATTACGATACAATACAATACATTACATCATTGCGGCAAGTTGTATTCTGTCTTACAAGAATTGTTTGCAACAATATGAGCCTAGCATGCAAAAAAAAAAATAATAGATGATCATTTGTCTGATATTCTCATCGTGTGTCCCAGACTTTAAATGGAATCTATCTGTAAAAGAACTGAAGAAAAGAAAATTGGTTACAAGGTGGAAAAAAATCAGTAACCAATCATGTTTCAGGTTTTATTTTCTCGCAAGGAATAGCGATTAAAGTGATTCTGAAGTCAAAAAGGTTTGTTCCCTCCTTCCCTAAATACTTATCGGAGTCCTATTTCAGTCCAGGGCTGTGCCTGTCTGCAGCAATGCTGGTCATTTTGCCAGTTCTCAGAGGACAGATTGATAGCAGTGGGAGCATTGGCTCCCGCTGCTGTCAATCAACTCCAGTGAGCAAGGAGGCGGAGGTCATGGCCGAGCTGCACTGTGTGTGTCTAGGGGAACACACAGCCTAGATAGGGAGCACGCCGGTATGTGTGCCCCCTAGCACACAGCTTGCTATGGGGGAATACTTGGGAGAGAAGGAGAGTGCGGGACCCCAGAATAGGAGGTAAAAGGCTGCTCTGTGCAAAATCCTTGCTAAGAGCAGGTAAGTGTACATTTCCTTTTAATTTTAGCTTAAGAAATTCCAGCCTTTAATATCACTTTAATTTTTCTTCTAATTTTTTTGTCCCATTTTTATTCTTCTCTGCTGAGAAGTTATAAATTAGCTCCTAACCTAAACATTGACCACACTATCTCAACTTCTGTGTAACCCAAAAAACAGGAAAATTCAGAGCATGTGTTTTTGCTTTAAAACAAGAAAACATGATCTGCAGCACACTCCCGCATAGAAACAGATTGGCGGAATGCTGTCATCTGCCCTGGATGGTTTACAACTCACATTAAGTGGGATTTTTGACTGTCTCCTTGATAGCATTAGTAGTATCTAGAATGTTTTCAGAATTTTCAGAGTAGCCATGTACATTTTGAAAACATCTTATTTCATTTTGTTGTGTTTGAAAATTCTAGTATTATCATACATGTTACTTACATTTCTTTTTAACAAATGCATATAACCATCTCAATGACAATCCAATGGCCTTTCAAAGCTGAAAGTTTATCCAGTGGTTCCAGTATTGCAGCACTTGGTTGTGATCAGCTCTTCAGCCTGGACTAGTAGGAGAAAATATTTTACGGATTGATGCCGTCTTCCAAATGATTTGTTTCTTTTTCAGTTATTAAGTCAAAAGCAAGCTCCTA